AATGAATTCTATATTCTTAGTCTAACTGAAATGTTTGCACCAATGCATACATGTGAAATTGATCTTTGATTATCTTTTGTGTTGCCTTTAATGTTTTAGTATCCATGTTATGCTGAATTTTTAAAATAGTCTAAAGAGAATTTAGAAATTTTTCTTCTTTTAGTACTGTCTAAAATAGGTTAGTCGGAGAAGGCAATGGCAACCCATTCCAGTACTTTTGCCTGGGAAATCCCATGGACGGAGGAGCCTGGTAGGCTACAGTCCATGGGGTTGCGGAGAGTCGGGTATGACTGAGCGACTTCACTTTCACTTTTCACTTTCATGCACTGGAGATGGAAATGGCAACCCACTCCAGTATTCTTGCCTGGAGAGCCTGGTGGGCTACCATCTGTGGGGTCACACAGAGTCGGACATGACTGATGTGACTTAGCAGCGGTAGCAGAATAGGTTAGTATCATTTCTTCTTGACCACTTCTTTTAAAATATAGGACAGCCCTCCAGAAATAGTGACACAAACATAGAGAATAGAAATGTGGACGTGGGAGGTGGGGGAGGGAGAAAGTGGGAAAATTCAGAGAGTATCGTTGACATATATATACTGCCATGTGTAAAATAGATAGCTAGTGGGAAACTGCTGTATAGCACAGGGAACTCAGCTTGATGCTCTGTGTGTGGTGATCTAGATGGGGTGGGATGGAGGTGGGATGGGAGGGGAATTCAAGAGGGAGAGGATATATGTGTGTATATATATATATAGTTGATTCACTTCATTGTACAGCAGAATCTCACACAACATTGTAAAGCAATTATATTTCAAGTTAAAAAAATAAAAAAAAAATAGAGTACTCTTGTTCTTCCAACCAGCACAACTGATAATAGGTTGTAGAGCATTAATTTTTTTTCTAGCTTTTTATTTGAAAATTATTTCAACTTTACAAGGACGTGAATAGTAGGAAGGACATCCTTATACCCTTCCCTCAGATGATAGATAGTTTATCCCATTTCTAAAGTTGTGACTTTTAATACAACTTTCCTAGAGACTTGATTAGAATAAAACTTCAGTTTTAAGGCTGTAGCAATTAACTACTAGCACCAGAAATGGTGTCCTTAAAGTACATTTACAGGTATTTCCTGATAGCTCAGTTGGTAAACAGTCTGCTTGCAATGCAGGAGACCCTGGTTCAATTCCTGGGTCAGGAAGATCCCCTGGAAAAGGGAAAGGCTACCCACTCCAGTATTCTGGCCTGGAGAATTCCATGGACTGTATAGTCTATGGGGCTGCAAAAAGTTGGACACGACTGGGCAACTTTCACTTGTAGCCCTGTAAAATACATTTGCTCAGATCCAGTCACTGTCCACTGCAGAGCCTTCTCACAGCATCACTTCTTGCTATCCCCCTTGTGGGCCTCAGTAAGCTGTGCTTTCGAGTAAAGCCAAGTTGAGTTCAACTCACGTGGTTCATTCTCAACTCACTGTCTTGTCTTTAGAGAGAGAAGTTTTTTGCCCTATCCTGCTGACCTGACGGGAAAAGCTGACTCATTGGAAAAGACCTTGATGCTGGGAAAGACTGAAGGCAAAAGGAGAAGGGAGCGGCAGAGGATGAGATGGTTAGGTAGCATCACTGACTGTATGGACATGAATTTGAGCAGACCCCAGGAGATAGTGGAGGACAGAGGTGCCCGGTGTGCTACAGTCCATGGGGTCACAGAGAGTCGGATACAACCTAGCGACTGAACAACACAAGCTGCCCTCTAAGGCCCACTTCCTTCCCAGCCTCGCGTGATCCCAGTGGATTCCTTCAGGGAAGATCTTGCTTCCATTCATGAGGCAGAGCCTGACCGTGAGGAAAGTGCGACAGCGCGGTTCCCAAAGTGTAGCCTCTTCATTCTTGAGTAAAGATCAGGCCTGCATGTCCATATTCCTATGGTCTCTTTCCTGCTCCTAGTCCCCTGTGAGACAGCACGTGAATGAATAGACACACAATCTCTCTCACTTGTCCAAGAATAAACAATAATTTTCAGATATATCATCTAAACCTCTATGTAGGAAAGAAAATTAAGAATATTTAAATAGTTCTGCTAAAACATACACTTCCTTAGCAATCATGAACAACACAGGATTTCAGTCTCACATTTTTCTATGTGGATTTCTTTAATTTATAACTAACTATTAATTTTATGAAAGAAGACATTTAGAAAATGTAAAATTGTTCTCCCCAGTATAACAGTGATTCATTATTTTTAAAAGATTGATAAAATGTTCTCTTGAAGTTAGTATATTCTTTATAATTCCTCCTATGTAGTTACCTAAACAACTGTATTATTATTGAGTCAAGGATTTTGTTCCAGATAGGTGATTTAGGCTTAATTGTTCTGAAACACTGTATTATTCTACTTTAACAAATTCTATGGTAGTTAAAGCCAAGAGCTTTGAACCACCTTTTGAATGGGGTTACTTCTTTGTGCTTAAGTTACTTGAAGTGTGTTATTGCTTTTATAACTGAATGTTAGGCTATTTAAACTTATTTGCAAAATATTGAAACCTAAATACATAATTTGAAAGTTTATTTCTCCAATAAAAAGAGTTTCATACAGTTATTTTCCTTTTGATAAATTTTATCTAAAACACAGCTATTCTATGCTATGGATCATTTCTTTCCTTAATGGGAACATGAGACTACATTAATATAGTTTTTTAATTTGGAATCATGTTTTGTTTGAATTTGTCCTGTCAAACTATCTTGTACTGATGGTGCCCAAAAAAGGAACAACCAACAGCAAATGCCTAAAAAATAAATACTTAAGAGCATTAACAACTGATTGCTTTGCTTGCTTTACTTTGTATAGGTAAATATTTCTAGTTTCTAGAAATCACCATTATTCATTTAACTACATGATCTTTAACAAAGAGATAATGAGTTTAGGGTTGTTTCCATGAAAGATAACTAGATAAAAACAGACTGGAATCTTATTTTTTAGGCGAATTGTCCAACCAGGATAGGGTATTATCTTCAGATAATTCAGATACCTGATCCGTTATGCAGATTCAGGAATTTGTTCTTTTCAGTGATTCCAAGTTAGTCAGATTCTGAAATTTCTCGCTCAAGCGGCAGAACTCAAGGAAAACTTTTTGTTTAAATCACAATGCCTGGTTATTGATATATATTAAGACATGACTTTCCTTTGCTCTCCAAGGAAAGGAGACTGATTTGGTTTTTCATTGGGTTTAGTGCTGCTGTAAACACTGGGGTGTGTGTATATTTTCAGATCAGTTTTCCCCAGATATATGCCCAGGAGTGATATTACTGGTTCATATGGTTATTCTATTTTTAGCTTCGTAAGAAACCTCCATACTCTTTTCCATAGCGGCTACCCCAATTTATTTTCCTACCAACAGTGTAGAAGGGTTCCTTTTTCCTCCACACCCTCTCCAGCATTTATTAGTTGTAAACTTTTTCATGATGGCAATTCTGAGTAGTGTGAGGTGATACCTCACTGCAGTTTTGATTCGCATTTTTCTAATATTAGTGATGCTGAGCATCTTTTCATTTCTTTTGGCCATCTGTGTCTTCCTTGGAGACATGTCTATTTAGATCTTCTGTTCATTATTTGACTGGATTGTTTGTCTTTCTGATATTGAAACATATGAGTTGTTTTTGTGTATGTTGGAAATGAGTCCCTTGTCAGTCATATTGTTTGCAACTGTTTTCTCCCATTCTGTAGATTGTGTTTTCATCTTGTTTATCTTTTCCTTTGCAGTGCAAACTTTTAAGTTCAGTTAGGTCTTGCTTGTTTATTTTTGGTTTTGTTTCCATTACTCCCTAGGAGATATATTGAAAAAAAAATATTGCTCCAGTTTATCTCAGAATGTCCTGCCTGTTTTCCTCTACATTTTATAGTATCCGGGAAGACCTACATCCTTGATCTCAGGAGCAGACAGTATTAGGAAATTTTAAACACTGGTTCATCAGTTGGTGCCTGGCAGGCCAACACAGAACACTGTTAGTCACACTAAGTGAAATGCACCAAAATCCAGGTAGGCAGCTCATTGATACTATGTAAATTTAGCAGCAAGTAAAATGTAAGCACCTGGTGGTAGAATCTGAGTCCCAAAGAAAGAATCCTATTCCCTAAGATACTGAGGAAGAAAAGAGCCCTGTTTCTAGAGAAACTGAGATTAAGAAAATGAGTTATGAAACCTTGAAAGGAAGCAAAACCAGGAACTCACAACTATGGCAAGGATTTGTGGTATGGTCCACACACACAAAATAAGGCCATGACTCAGTTTCTGGAACTGTGCCAGTGATCAGAGTTGATGCAGGAAAGAAGTAACACTAATGATCCCAAGCCAGGTAATGATTCTTAAATCTCTTAAATTGTTAAGAGATTTAAAGAATCTCTCAAATCTTAAATCTCTACTGCCTTGGAACTAAGTTGGTCCCAGAACCTAATTTAAGTGGGTTTCAGCTTTTAGGATTGGAAGGCTTTAAGGACTAGGAAACATATCTAAATGGTATATAATCACTCTATGGTTCAGATTTACAGAAGTAAGTTTTGTAAAAGCTTGTTCTTTCCTCTTAGAGCTAGGATTTACCATTAGGTAAATCTTAAATTCGACTCTGTAGGGCTAAAGGTTGGGTTGTGTGCTATTTCTTGGAAGGAGGTATAAATATTAAGATGTTATATTATTTAATTCTATAATGTGTAGGTTGTGCTTTATGTATGTGTGTATGCATGTGTGTCCATTCCTAAGTTACCTTAACCTGTTCCCATGTCCTGCCTAATTTATCTTCAATTCGTTGTTAAAATACAGGATGGAAAAAATTTATCTTCATCTGGATCTTGTTTCAACTTTGAAAACTCTTGACTCTGTACTTGAATGTTATGCCTTAAAACTTTGAAATGGTAACTAGTAATATAACTGCTCTTGGACTAAAAACTTTTAGTAATTTGTTTAATAATGTTTAATAGTTGAACGTTATTTATTTGTTTCTAATTTAGATGGGTCTAGGAAAGACAGTTCAGGCAATTGGCATCGCTTACTTCTATAAGGAGGAATGGCCTCTTTTAGTGGTGGTCCCTTCATCTCTGAGGTATCCTTGGACCGAGGAAATAGAGAAGTGGATCCCAGAGCTGAGTCCTGAAGAAATCAATGTCATCCAGAATAAAACTGATGTTGGGTAAGAACAACTCTAAGCTTTAAGAAAAAAAGCCCTCCTGTGTGTAATTAATGTATAGCAGTGTTTGGAATGAAATATCGCAGAATTTAAAATTAAGAAAGTAATGTTGTTCAGTTGCACAGTCATATCCAACTCTGCGACCCCATGGACTGCAGCACACCAGGCCTCCCTCCCTGTCCTTCACCATCTCCTGGAGCTTGCTCAAACTCACGTCCATTGAGTCAGTGATGTCATCCAACCATCTCATCCTCTATCATCCCCTTCTCCTCCTGCCTTCAATCTTTCCCAGCATCAGGGTCTTTTCTGATGAGTTGGCTCTTTGCATCAGGTGGCAAAAATACTGGAGCCTTAGCTTCAGCATCAGTCCTTCCAATGATATTCAGGACTGATTTCCTTTAGGATGGACTGGTTGGATCTCGTTGCAGTCCAAGGGACTTTCAAGAATCTTCTCTGACACCACAGTTCAAAAGGATCAATGCTTCAGTGCTCAGCCTTCTTTGTGGTCCAACTCTCACATCCACATATGACTACTGGAAAAACTGTAGTTTTGACTAGATGGGCCTTTGTTGGCAAAAGTAATATCTCTACTTTTTGATATGCTAAGTTGGTCATAGCTTTTCTTCCAAGGGGCAAGCATCTTTTAATTTCATGGCTGCAGTCACCATCTGCAGTGATTTTGGAGCCCAAGAAAATAAAGTCTGTCACTATTTCCATTGTTTCCCCATAAGAAAGTAATGTAGAGAATTTTATTTTCCATTTAAAAACATGAATTACCTATCTAAAAGCCAACCATATATTTAATGTTATATGTTCCTTTATGGTATATTTTTAAAATGTAAAATATACATGCTTTAAAAACATATGAATATACCTGTTTTGTATATACCTTAAATATACTTTAAATTCACTATTTTGAAGTTGAAAAATAAATGTTCCAACTTTTCAGTGATTAACTTGAAGTTTGTGAGCTTTTATTATCAGCAACTATGGCAGGTTTTGCATTCTAAGTTGTTAGTTTATATGCAAGTTTTATGTGTAACTCAAAATTAATGTTAGGCAGTTTTACTTTTTTATTATTTTAATTTATAGTTGTAATATTTTCTGTATTGAAAATATTTGTTTTGTGATTATTTGAAGTCCTTATTCTAAACTCATAATATAGTTACTATCTTTTTCTCGTTTTGTTTTCCAGCCATTGGAATAAACCAATCAATTTGAATATTAATAATTTATTACATCGAGTTTCTAGGTGAATTATGCAAATTGTCATGTTCCTAGAAGTTCAGAATTACCATTTCTGAGTCACAAATAAAAAGTTATGTTTCTACTAGAAATAAATATGTAATACTTTGTTAGATTCTTTTGTGTGTCGTATTATTCTTCTATGTTTTATTCTCTAAGATTGTTATCATAAAATGTATTTGTAGAAATAAAGTTGGCCTTTGTGAATGTGGAAAGAGGAACCAGACAAAATAGCTAGCTGCCTTTTTCTCTTTCAGCCTTGGAATTCTAATTCAGTAAAATATGTCTTCTTGGGCCCCAGAAAATTTACACACTATATTTGCATTGTCAAAATAAAATGTAGGTAATAAGTATGAAAAATTTCCTCTTTTTTAATAAAACTGCATGAAATTTAAGACTTAATAGTTTAGAGAATGTAGAATTTATTATAGCCTCTATAATCATTTTCTGTAATCTATACTTTATTTAAAAGTTTAAAGTATTCTTATAATATTCCTCTATCATATTTATAGCATTTAAGTCTTCTCATTTTTATTACTATTTTGGAACTATACTCTTGCAATTAAAACAGAGGCTAATGTTTTTAAATGAATAACATTTGGGGTCTTTAGATAGTGCTTCAACGCCAGCATGTAACTTTTCTGCAGGATGATAGCTAAGGGCAGAAAAACTTACCCAATGTCTTCCAGGTACTTAAATAGTTTTAGGTATATAGCAACAAGTGGCAACATGGATTTACTGCAAATACATATACTTCCTTTTGTCATATACCAGTTATGCCTGGACTGTCTATTAGTCTAGACATGGCAGGACAGCAGCTACAGTGACGTTTGAAGCCCTTGTCCTTTATATGTTACTCTTAGTGTATCTAAGTGAGTAATATTAACCCCCAAATTTTCTCATGCAGCTTCTTCCTATATTTGACTACAGGAGCAAATTCATAAGTCTCTATATTGAGTGGATTTATCCAAGGTATAAATGCAGTTGTCCTTCAGAGAAAAATGCAAAAATTGTCATATTAGTACTCTAGTACTAATATTAGTACTCATATTAGGCTCTTTAGGAGATCTGAATTTTCTGTTAGAGATTAGAGAACTGCAAAAGACTTGACATTGTCCTGTGTTTTTCACTGGTCATATAGAAAATGAAAAAGTGATACATTTTATTGTTAATGAATTTATTTTTCTAATTATCTCATTCTGCACACTCATGGGGAGCACAGCACTGTCATCCAAAGATGAATAAGACACATTTCCTGTCCTCACCCATCTTATGATAGAATAAGGGAAATAAACATATAAATGAATAATTTTGTTACAGTATGATAAAGAATATTATAAATATATGAATTATGTCACGCCAGGGCCTCACTTTTGTTGTCACAGTGATAAGGACTCTAATGGCCTTTAATGAGAGGGTTCAAGAATGTGAAATGCCCTGCCGTGCTCTGGATAGACCTGTAACATGAAGTATCATCTTGCTCAAAATCACAGTAGTACCTGAGATGAAAAACACTGCTGACCTTCATTGTATAGTCAACTAATCTTTGAGTTACCTACTTTATATGCAAGAGTTCTAGATGCACTGAAGCAAATATTCCCAGAAAGTAATTTTCTTATTATCCTAGTAAAATGTGACGACTTGGATGTCAAAATATTCCAAAGACCATTTAACTAAAAATTTAGTTTTCTTAACCAGATTTTAAATTCGGATTCTGATTTATCAAATTTGAAGATGGTAAATTAAGAGACTTTGGGTTTCAGCGTTGAATCATCTCTTCTTATTTTTCCTCTTCTTTCTCCTCTGTATTTCTTCCCTAAGAAATGTATTGTCTATGATACATTGGTTACCAAAATAGTTTTTAAGTACATGGATTATGTTTTCTAGGAGAATATCAACCAGCAAAGTGACAGTTCTGGGTTATGGCCTTTTAACCACAGATGCGGAGACTTTGATAGATGCACTGAATAATCAGAACTTCAAAGTCGTTATTGTAGATGAATCACACTACATGAAGTCCAGAAGTGCAACTCGCAGCCGGATTCTATTGCCCATTGTACAGAAAGCCAAACGAGCCATTCTGCTTACAGGAACTCCAGCTCTGGGAAGACCCGAAGAGGTATTAAATTCCTTATATTTTGGGCTTAAAGAAAAAAATGCAATCAATCACTGTTTTTATAATTTTTAAATTAGATGCTTCAAATGCCATAAGAGCACACTGGAAAATTCTAGGCTTCTATTTATGGCTAAATATATCTGTTACCCTGACTGTTTTTATCTATGTATGTGTGAAGCTTAGCCGTGCTTATAGGTATATTTATATGTGGCTTTTACCTTTATTACAAGCTTTTTATATTTAGTATACACTTGTAATAAGCCAGCTCTGAGAGAGCTGTGGCGTCACATCTCTCCTAGTGTTACCATGGCTCTGCATTTGTTCTCTGCTCTGGAAGTCTTCTGAAAGACACATAAAAGTACATAGAGAATGATGGTAAAATTCTCAATTTACCTTTTATATTTTTGTTGTAAATACTAGAAGTGGAAGAGTGGACCCCAGGTAATTTCCTTATGTTCCAAAATTATGTCCCTGGATCGTGGGGTTCATTATATCTTTATAAAAATACACAAAATGTATCATTTCAGAATGGGAGTATATAAAAGATATGTGTATCCTGCATGGTGATAGTAAAATGAATAATCACTTATTGATTACTTACCATAAGAAAGCGAACACTGACAATATGGTAGTGGTCCGTATGTCCCCTGTAATTGCATGCCAGTACCTTCATGCCTCACCCAGGATACATGCTATTCCATGCAAGGGTAAATCCTGGTTTTGTAGATTATGATGGTTATACAAACTGGGGATGTTTGGGATTCTTCACCAAAAACGTATAAAGATTATAAATTCTAAATTAGGAGTTCTGAAACTAGTGTGAGTCTTGCAACTCTGTTTTTCTTTTGCAAAATCATTTTGAATATTCTAGGTCCCTTGAATTTTCCTAAGAATTCTTTTTAATAACTTGGCTACTTTTGTAGAGAATCCAGCTTAGACTTTCATAGTTATTGTGTAGGAGCCGTAGATCAGTTTGGAATGTATTGCCATGTTAACAATATTACGTCTTCACATTCATAAACTTGGGATATCTTTCAGTTTATGTAGGTTTTAAGTTTCCAACAGTGCTTTGTAGTTGTAATAGGATAAGTCTTCTGCTTCTTTTGTTAAATATTTTATCCGTTTTGATGCTGTTGTCAGTGGAATTGTTTTATCAATTTCATTTGTAGAAATACAGTCGATTGCATATTGACCATGTATACTGCAACCTTGGCAAACTCATTCATTACTTCTAATAGTTTTCAGTGGACTGCTTAGGATTTTCTGTACGCAAGATTGTATTTAAATTGCCTCATTATCCTGGCTAGAATTTCCAGTAGAGTTTGGAATGGAAATGGCAAGTGTGGGCATCTTTATTTTGTTCCTAATATTATAAGAAAGCATTCAGTCTTTCACCTTTAAGTATTACCCTTGTTTTGTTCTCCAGTCACTAAGCCACATCTGACTCTTTGCGAACCCAAGGACTGCAGCATGCCAGGCTTCCCTGCCCGTCACTACCTCCCAGAGTTGGCTCAGATTCGTATCCATCGAGTCAGTGATGCTATTTAACCATCTCATCCTCTGCCGCCCGCTCTGCTTTTGCCTTCAATCTTTCCCAGCATCTCTTTCAGAATTTCCCACAGTTTGTTGTGATCCACACAGTTAAAGGCTTTGGTGTAGTCAGTAAAGCAGAAAGAGATGTTTTTCTGGAACTCTCTTGCTTTTTTGATGATCCAGCGGATATTGGCAATTTGAACTCTGGTTCCTCTGCCTTTTCTAAAACCAGCTTGAACATCTGGAAGTTCATGGTTCACGTACTGTTGAAGACTGGCTTGGAGAATTTTGAGCATTAATTTACTAGAGTGTGAGATGAGTGCAATTGTGCGATAGTTTGAGCATTCTTTGGCATTGCCTTTCTTGGGGATGGGAATTGACTTTTTTGACTATGCCAAAGCCTTTGACTGTGTGGATCACAGTAAACTGTGGAAAACTCTGAAAGAGATGGGAATACCAGACCACCTGACCAGCCTCTTGAGAAAGCTGTATGCAGGTCAGGAAGCAACAGTTAGAACTGGACATGCAACAACAGACTGGTTCCAAATAGGAAAAGGAGTATGTCAAGGCTTTATATTGTCACCCTCCTTACTTAACTTATATGCAGAGTACATCATGAGAAACGCTGGGCTGGAAGAAACAAAAGCTGGAATCAAGATTGCCAGGCGAAATATCAATAACCTCAGATATGCAAATGACACCATCCTTATGGCAGAAAGTGAAGAGGAACTAAAGAGCCTCTTGATAAAAGTGAAAAGGAGAATGAAAAAGTTGGCTTAAAACTCAACATTCAGAAAACTGAGATCATGGCATCCGGTCCCATCACTTCATGGCAAATAGATGGGGAAACAGTGACAGACTTAATTTTTTGGGCTCCAAAATCACTGCAGATGGTGACTGCAGCCATGAAATTAAAAGACGCTTACTCCATGGAAGGAAAATGCTTACTCCATGGAAGGAAAGTTATGACTAACTTAACATATTAAAAAGCAGAGACATTACTTTGCCAATAAAGGTCCGTCTAGTCAAACCTATGGTTTTTCCAGTAGTCATGTATGGATGTGAGAGTTGGACTATAAAGAAAGCTGAGCACTGAAGAATTGATGCTTTTGAACTGTGGTGCTGGAAAAGACTCTTGAGAGTCCCTTGGACTGCAAGGAGATCCAACCACTCCATGATAAAGGAAATCAGTCCTGAATATTCATGGGAAGGACTGATGTTGAAGCTGAAACTCCAATACTTTGGCCACCTGATGTGAAGAGCTGACTCATTTGAAAAGACCCTGATGCTGGGAAAGATTGAAGGTGGGAGGAGACGGGGACGACAGAGGATGAGATGGTTGGTTGTCATCACCGACTCGATGGACATGAGTTTGAGTAAACTCTGGGAGTTGGTGATGGTCAGGGCGTACTGCAGTCCATGGGGTCGCAAAGAGTTGGACATGACTGAGCGACTAAACTGAATTGAACTTTCCCAACATGAAGGCCTTTTCCAGTGAGTCTGGTCTTCACATCAAGTGGGCAAAGTATTGAAGCTTCAGCTTGAGCATCAGTCCTTCCAGTAAATATTCAGGGTTGATTTCCTTTAGGTTTGACTTACCATCAATTCTTCAGCTCTCAGCCTTCTTTATGGTCCAAGTCTTAAATCCATATATGACTGACTACTGGATAAACTATAGCTTTGACTATATGGACCTTTGTTGGCAAAGTGATATCTCTGCTTTTTAATATGCTGTCTGGGTTTGTCACAGCTTTTCTTGCAAGGAGCAAGCATCTTTTAATTTTTTTTCTGCAGTCACTGTCTACAGTGATTTTGGAGCTCCCAAATAGAAAATCTATCACTCCTTCCACTTTTTCTGCTTCTGTTTGCCATGAAGTGATGGAAGTGGATGCCATGATCTTAGCTTTTGGAATGTTGAGTTTCAAGCCAGCTTTTTCATTCTCCACTTTCACCCTCATCAAGAGGCTCTTTGGTTTTTCTTCACTTTCTGCCATTAGAATGGTATAATCTGCATATCTGAGGTTGTTGATATTTCTCTGGGCAATCTTGATTCTAGCTTGTTATTCATCCAGCCAAGTGTTTTGTATGATATACTCTGCATATAAGTTAAATAAGAAGGGTGACAATATATAGCCTTAATGTACTCCTTTCCCAATTTGGAACCAGTCCATTATTCCATGTCCAGTTATGTTGCTTCTTGACCTGCATACAATTTTGTCAGGAGACAGGTAATGTGGTCTGGTATTTCCATCTTTTTAAGAATTTTCCAACTTGCTGTGATCCACACAGTCAAAGGCTTTAGCTTAGTCAATGAAGCAGAGTGATAGTTGCTTAGTAGTATCTGACTCTTTTGTGACCCCATGGAATGTAACCCGCCAGGTTCCTCTGTCCATTGAATTCTTCATCCAGGCAAGAATGCTAGAGTGGGTTGCCATTTCCTTCTCTAGAGGAACTTCCTGGACCATGAATGGAATCTGAGTCTCCTGCATTGCAGGCAGATTTGTTACTCAGTCAATGAAGCAGAAGTAGATGTTTTTCTGGAACTGCATTCCTTTCCCTATGATCTCAAGAATGTTAGCAGTTTGATTTCTGGTTCCTCTGCCTTTTCTAAACCCTTGTTAATGGTGGGTTTTTGTAGATTTCCTTTATCAGGTTGAGTAAGTTCCTTTCTACCTCTTGTTTATTGAGTGTTTAATCATGAAAGGATGTTGAGCTTTGTCAAATGCCTTTTCTTCATTATTGAGGTACTCATATGTTTTTGTCCTTTATTGATAGGCTACAGTATAATAATTGACTTTCACATATTAAACCAACCTTGCATCTAAGATAAAACTCACTTGGTCATAATATATAATCCTTTCATATACTTCTGGATTCAGTCTGTTAATATTTTGTTGACAATCATTATTATGTCTGTATTCATAAGAGATATTGATTTGTAGTGGTTTTTTATTCTATCTTGGTCCAGTTTTGTTATTAAAGTATTACTGGTGTCAAAGAATGACGTGGAAGAGTTCCCTTCTCTACTATATTTTGAAAGATTTTGCAAAATATTGGTATTTTTTAAATATTTGGTGAATTTGATAGTTAAGCTATTTGGGTCTAAACTTTTCCTTGTGGATGGATTTAGGTTAACAACTTTCTCTTCACTGAATAAATGTTTATTTGGATTGATTATTTAGTTTAGAATCAGTTTTGGTATTGTATCTTTTTAGGAATTTGCCCATTTCATCTAAATTATCTAATATATTGGCATACATTTGTGCATAGAATTTTCTTATAATATTTCATTATTTCTGTGAGGCTAAGTGTAGTGTCCCCTCTTTTGTTCTTAATTTTAGTAATTTGAGTCATCTTGTTTTTCTCAGTCATAGCTAAAATTTTGTCAATTTTGTTGATCTCTTTAAGAACCAACTTTTTGTTTCGTTGATTTATTTCTGTATTTTCCATTCTCTATTTCCATTCTAGCCTTAATTATATTATATCTCCTGGGTATAGTTTTCTTTTCCAGTGTCTTAATGTTAAAAGTTAGATGATTAATTTGAGAACTTTCTTCTTTTTTAATAACAAACATATACAGATATAATTTTACTCTAAGCACTGCTTTCACTGGATCTGAATTTTGGTATGTTATTGTCTCAATTTCATTTATTCCAAAGTCTTGTCTAATTTCCCTTCTTTCTTCTTCTTTGGACAATTTGTTATTTAGGAGTATGTTGTCATATAAAAAGGATGTAAAGGCTTTCCTGGAGGCTTAGATGGTAAGGCTTAGATGGCTTAGCCTGCCTACAATGTAAGAGACCCGGGTCCAATACCTGTATCAGGAAGATCCCCCGGAGAAGGGAATGGCTACCCACTCCAGTATTCTTGCCTGGAGAATTCCATGGACAGACAAGCCTAGTGGGCTACAGTCACAAAGAGGCGAACACAACTGAGCGACTAACACTTTCACGCTTTTCAAAGCAGCAAAGCCACGTTGGAAAACATTTTGGCAGTTCCTTAATAAATTGAAAATCAAATTACTATAGTACCTAGCAATGCCATTACTAGGTATATACCCAAGAGAATTGAATATATAGCTGATCTTAATGACATCCAAAAAGTGGAAAAAAGCCAGTGTCTATAACTGCTGAATTGATAAACAAAATGCAGCTGTAAAAAGGATAAAGTACTAATATACTCTACAGAATGGATGAACCTTGAAGACATTATGCTCAGGGAAAGCCAGACACAAAGACTACATACTTTAGGATTCTATTTATATGAAATGTCCAAAATAGGCAAATTCTTGGAGATGGAAATATATTAGTGGTTGCCAAGTTCGGGAGAGAGTGGGAATAAAAAATGACTAGTAATGGGTATAGATTTTATTTTTGGAGTGATAAAAATGTTCCAGAATTAGATAGTGGTGATCAAGGCACATTTTGAATATACTAAAAGCCACTGAAATATACACTTTAAAAATGAACAGTAAAAGTGGTATATGAATTTATATCTCAATAAAACTGTTGTTTTTTAAAAAGCTTATTAACAGTGAAATGCTGTATACAGCCTATTAAAGTTATGAAAATTAAAAGATTTTATGATTCTATTGATGGGAATATAAATTGGTACCATCCTTTTACAATGCAGCATGGTAACATCTATCAAAATTTTTAAAACATGCCATAATTTCTAAAAACAGACTGTATAAACCCATCTATTAGAAATGCAGATGGGGGATGGATGGATGGATGGATGGATGGATGGATGGATGGATAGATGATTGATAGATGTATATGTACTTTAATGATGTCTAAAGTAGACTTGGGGGAAAAAATTCTAATTGTGTATGTTATATGATCATGTAAATAAAAGAGAATTATAAATATGCATATATAGGTGTACAAAATATATAAATATATATTGAAGAAAGGGATAGGAGTTAGTCCTGAAAAACAGGATGGCAGGGATGGGTAGGTAGAGGGAAAGGAAGAGCCTTGAGGAAAAAGAGGTACATTTTTGTTTTTACTATTTCATTAATTGGACTTATAGTAACAGCAATTAACTTGAAAATATTACAGCACATTGAGAATACCTATATTGTTACAGCTTTTCATGCAGATTGAAGCTCTCTTTCCACAAAAATTTGGAACATGGACTGAGTATGCCAAAAGATACTGTAATGCACATGTCAGGTACGAAAAACTATTTTCTGTAACTTTTAATCCTATTTACCTTGAACATTAAGCTCTGTTAATTTTTTTTCCCCCAGGGTTTTATAAACTTGTGGTAGCTATGGAATAATCTGAAGTAAAATCTTGGGTGAATGACCCATATATAGAATGAAAAAAAGGAGTAGATAATGGAAGTTTTTCTTTATTTCTTTTTTACTTTTCATTTTTAAAATTATTTCTTTGTGTCGACCAGATGGATATGCACATTGTACAGAAATGGTAAGTAAGTGCCACTTTGCTCGTGTGTTCCAGTTAACCATTTCCCTTCCCAGGTAACCAGTGTTGGCAGTTTCTTACGTATTTTTCTGTAGGTACTGAATGCATGAAAAACATACATGGTTATGTATGTATAATATTATTTCATTTTATTTCCACATGTATAGTATTATACAGTACACTTTGTTCTGTAGTTTGCTGTCTTCACCGACTATATTGGAGATCTTTGAATATCAGCTACTAGAAAAGGTTTAATATTCTTTTTAAATGTTGCTGTGTATTTCAGTGCTTGGATGCACTGTAATTTATTTATGCAGTCTACTATGTATTATAGTGGCAAAGAGCATGCAAAATTAGAGTTAGACCACCTATGTTTTATTTTCACATTCAATACCTACCAGGTATTTCATTTAAGAAAGTAACTTTACTTCTCTATCCCTCAATTTCTTCAGCTCAGAAAAGAGAATAATTATTCCTTCCTTTGAGTTATTATGTGCCTTAAATGAGCTTATGTTATGAGGTCTTGAATAGTGACTGGCACATAGTGAGCACTCCGTAATTACTAGGTATTTTAGTGTTCCATGTTATATAGTCAGTACATGGGAATAAGTCTGTAACACAAATTTATTATAAATGGAATTGCTCATACAAAGGGCATTTGCATTTGTATATTTTTTAGACATTTGCAAATTATGCTTCTCAAAATTTGTACCAATTTATATTCCTACCAGCAATATGATTATCTCTTTCCTCACACCTTACTGACATATTCAAAGAGAAATTATTTTTCTTGCCAATGTGATCTGATAGTAGTTTTAATGCACGTCAGTCTTCTTATGTTATTAAATGCAGCTTAACATTTTTTCATACTTGTAGAGTCATTTATACTTTTTTCCTGTCAATTGTCTGTGTTCTTTGCCCTTCATTCTACTAAGTTTATTGGCTCTTAATCTTAATAATATACTGGAAATCTTTGTATATAGTGGAAGTCAACTGTTTATATTTGATGTGAATCCCACCTTTTTTCTCAGTATATATGTGTGTGTATGTGTATTTTATTTTTTCCTTTCTACGATTCCCTGAAATAACCCCATGCGGTTGAGATGTTCTGATCCATTCCATTCCATTCTAGTGCCCCACAGTAGCAGGATTAGTTCCCTAATCCTGACCAAGGATTGAATCTGGGCCCTTGACAGTGAAAGCTCAGATTAAGACTATAAATGGAGAAATATTCAGTATTAATATAAACCATAAACTCATTAAAAAGCCTAATACATTAACCATATGTAAATGTAATTTATATCAAGAATGCAGTCATTGTTTAATATTAGAAAATTTGTTAATATAATTAGCCATGTTAATAATGAAAAGGAAAAGCTTCATTTCATTTCCTCCATTTATGTTGAGGTGTAGTTAGATGAAGTTCAGCATTCATCTTCGATTAAAGTTTTGAATATAAGTTATTCATTTCATGTATGATATTTATATAAATGTAAACACATAAAATGTATTTTATGTGTGTGTGTGTTTTAAACCTAAAGCAACCATCACATGAAACACTAATACCAAGGCACGGGGTTAATTGTCTTTGCACTTTACCTTTATTCTGGGGACATTAGTTTAACTACTCAAAAGAAAAACAGGAGGTAAAATTCAGAAAGAAAAACGCAAAATTATCATTATTTGCTGCTGATATCATTATTTAGAAGACCTGAGATAATGAGCTGAGAAATGTTCAAAACCAAAGAGATTTCATTAAGGTGTCCTAGCACAAGGTTGGAGAAGGCAATGGCAACCCACTCCAGTACTCTTGCCTGGAAAATCCCTTGGACGGAAGAGCCTGGTAGGCTGCAGTCCATGGGGTCACGAAGAGTCAGATACGACTGAGAGACTTCATTTTCACTTCTCACTTTCATGCATTGGAGAAGGAAATGGCAACCCACTCCAGTGTTCTTGCCTGGAGAATTCCAGGGACGGGGGAACCTGGTGGGCTGCTGTCTGTGGGGTCGCACAGAGTCGGACACGACTGAAGTGACTTAGCAGCAGCAGCGCAAGGTTACCATTAAAAAGTTGTACACAGATAATAATAAACAGTTTTAAAATATAATACCAAATAGATGCAATACTGGATATTGTTAGGGAGTCCTTAATCCTGGTTCTTACAGATTATAAATGCCAAAAATTTGCCTACATAAAACAAACACGTTAACACATTAGTACATTTGTCTTTTGGGAACTAGGAAAACCTAAGTGGTCAGAATACATTTCTTCTTTTCTGATTAGGACTTACCACATGAAAATATAAGTGTTTGAAGTGTATACCTGTCCTTTTCTTACTTTTGAATGTAGGCACTATTTGAAAGGAAAGTTTATCTTTATGAAATGCTTGATTGGGGAGATTGTGTTCTATTTCCTGTTTCCTGTGTGTGTATGCTCAGTCACTCAGTGGTGGTGTTACTCTTTCATTCCCATGGACTGTACCCTGCCAGGCTCCTCTGTCCCTGGAATTTTCTAGGCAAGAGTACTGGAGTCGGTTGCCATTTCCTTCTCCAGGAGATCTTCCCCACCCAGGGATTGAACCCAAATCTCTTGTGTCTCCTGAATTGGCAAGCAGATACTTTATCACTGTGCCACCTGGAAACCCTTCATGTTTACTAGAGAAAGTCATTTCAAGCCTGTTATCATGCCTCTTAAGGCATTTTCTTTCAGATTCCATTTCATAAGTTTCAAGTTATTCCTTTACTTCTTTACCTTGGAAGCACTGTTTCCATAGACTCTGATTCAGATCAAGGCACTTCGTGACATTTTAAGTTAGTTTGTAGAATGTTAATTTTTTTTTCCTGTAGTGTTCCGAATCTATAAAGTTGTCATTTTCACACTGTAATTCTGCAGAAACCAAATTATGGTGAGTTATTCAGTTCTAAACCCTTATTTTATATTTGAAATGTTATGACTGTATTAAAAATGAAGTTAAATGAAGCTTGAGGTAAAACAGAACTTTGCCTTTGTAAAGTTTATTAAATACATAAATGATAGCAAACAGAGTTATAATACTTATGTGAAGTGATTTTGAGATGAGAAGTTTAGGTATAGGTAACTACGTATCTGGCTTGATTTGAAAGGCACAGAGAAAGTATTCCTGAATCAGAGCATCTCATATTCAAGATTCCTTACATCATTCACACCACTGGGTTATATTTAGAGGAAGCTGTAAATTCAAATATGATTTGAAGAAGATAGCACATTCAATTTTCAACCAGTAGCCAATTAGAGCTAGAAAGACTTTATGATCAGGTGGTCCCCCTCTGTCATTTTATAGATACCTGGTGAGGTTAAATGGCTTGCCGTCTGTGTCACTTCCTCTTACATTATTTTTCACTTTTCCTGGCAGTAAGAAAGACTTAGGCAAGGGTAACTTTAATAAATGTTCTTTTACAAAGAAAAAAGGACACAAGATAGTCCAGCCATGCATCCTGTTAGCAGCAGCCACCTCCCTGATGGGTCATGCTCGAAGGTTAAGAATATCTTTATAGTAATTTATCAAATTTTATGAACTTTCTTTCTAGCTCGTATTTTGTGCCCATTCCACTTCTTAAAAGAAATAGTTGTCTAAATTTTTATGACAGGGAAAATGCTGGGTGATAGTACATATAAGGTATGTATGGTCATTCTACAAAAGTGTTAATTAGTGGGTCTTGTCAGCATCAGTAAATGTCTTATGTGGAAATGCACTGTACTTTGTCCTCAGCAGTGTTGAACTTAATATTCTCAGCCGTGGCTACGTAGAGATCAGGTCTGTTCCACTTGTCAATAATTCGAATCTGAGAAAAATACTCAATATACGGGATGGTAGAGATAAGTTTGGAAAATAAGTAGCTAAAAACTAATAGGATAAATTCTGCACTTGTGCTTAGAATGTCTGCTTTGTATGAAAGAATTTGAGAAATCCTCACCTATTATCAGTAGTTCAGTTCACAAAGACTTCTGGTTTTGAATAACCCTAGGCTAAATTGCAACCTACTCCAGTACTCTTGCCTGGAAAATCCCATGGACGGAGGAGCCTGGTAGTCTACAGTCCATGGGGTCTTGAAGATTCGGAGACAACTGAGCAACTTAACTTTCACTTCACTTTCATGCATTGGAGAAGGAAATGGCAACCCACTCCAGTGTTCTTGCCTGGAGAATCCCAGGGAGAGAAAAGCCTGGTGGGCTGCCGTCTATGGGATTGCACAGAGTCGGACTCGACTGAAGTGACTTAGCAGCAGCAGCAGCAGCAGCAGGCTAAATGAAAGTCAAGTGTCTATCATAACTGATAAAAATAAAGTAATGTTAAGGCACACTAATCAGAATAACATCCAGTATAAAGGATGGTTCTACTCTGCTCTTTGATTAGACCACAGCTGGGGTATGGTTAAATTTTGAATTAATCTATTCATTCAAAAAATATTTATAGGGTACCTGTTATTGCCATGCTATACGCTAGGTATCAAGTATGCATTAGAGCAGCAGTCCCCAACATTATTGGCTTCAGGGATCGGTTTCATTCCTGAGGTTTTCATTCCTCCTGGGGGAGGGAGGGGGAGCAGAATGGTTTCAGGATGATTCAAGTACATTACATTTATTGTGCAGTTTATTTCTATTATTATTATATCAGTATCAGCTCCATTTCAGATCATCAGGCATTAGATCCTGGAGGTTGGGGACCCCTGCATTAGAGAACCAAACCCAAGTGGTCCCAGCCTTCA